ATTGCCACTTTATAACACATGCTTCTATTGGAGAGTGCTAGTAGCCATTTCCACACATATTACAGAAGCATGAACCACTATTGTCACTACCAGCAAATCTGCCCTAAAATAATGCCATGCAGCCATCACTGCAACTGAAGAAATGTACAAGAAAAAGTTTAACTCAAGTAAGTCTAATATACCTTCCTATATATTTACTAATGCTAACAGTATAAGGATTGAGAATATTTTGTAGTTAATGTTGATTGAGAAAGTTTAGTTCCACTTTCAAAGTCCATTGTGAATGTCTTGTAGGGTCTCGTATCACAACTTTGACTGGGATCTGATGCAGAGACAAATCAGTCATCTCTGACTCTAACATAAAGATTTGAGATCATCCTAGATTTAAGATCATCAAGATGTCATCCTAATATTTACCTGTAAACCTAACTCTGAAGTTTAATGTACATTTAACTCTACTCCCATAGAACCTGCAGGAATACTGTCCAGGTCCTTCCCAGTTACTCTGCCCTGCAGCCAGGCACATAGCTCATTCGCATGTTTCTCTAATAACCAGTCTAGGGCTGTTGTTTTTGCTGTTTCTATTTTTTGGAGAAGTTGGCTAGGGAGATATCTGGATACTCCTAAAATAGGAACTATGTACATTGAGGACTTTACCTAATCGTCAGGATAAGCTATGTTGGAGCCCTTGCTTGAATCAAACAGTGGATTTCTGCTTAAGGCCATAGTAGTAGTAGCAGTAGTTACTTCTTTAGAGCCCCAGAGCAGTATCACTTTAAGGATTAGGTCAGATGGACAAAACTCTTTGGAAACACCTTCCGTTGTTCCCTTTGCTAGACCTGCAGCTGAATTTCTAGCACCAGAGGGGGTTAAACAGCAATTAGTCCTTAGAGATGTCTGTACTCACAAGGCCCAAGAGCAACCGGATGCCTTCCTTTCTGATGCCAGACCAAATCTTCAGTAGACAGCCTCTCAGTCAGCATAGTAGAACCCAGATCTAAGCATTCAGGCCCTCAGGATGCCCATCTGGGGCCGCATGGCAGTGGCTGCCTGGGAGGGTAACGTGCCCTCTCCCTGGCTAGATCAGTACTGGACAGGAAAAAATCCCCAAACCCTGTGTGCTCATTCTATATATACAGTTACCCAGCATGCCTTCAGAGCCCCTCTCTCTGGGATAGGCTGAGGCTGTATTAATGTTCATGCTGCCATCTGCATAACTCCACACCTATCATCCAGAAACTTCTAAAGTTTCCTGGATACAGAGGAAGCTAGACTAGCAGCAGCTGAGCACACAGAAAAAAAACCTAACTAAAGATCACAGCTTACCCAGTACAGTGAGCTAACCATGCTTTTTCCTAACAAATATTTACAGCCGCTCTACCTAAAGAGTGACAGCTAAATCTACCTATCAAAAAACACAACTAATTATATCTATCTAACCCTAGCACCTACCTAAGAGGGTGCTACATACATTAAAACTAAGTTCCCTTTCAAATGTTCATTACGATCAGGTCTGCCTGTCAGTTTTTCAGGTGGACCTGACCAGAAGGTCCATGTAGCCCTATGGACCGGGAGGTATAAACAGACTTGTGCCAATTTACACTCGCCTACCTCTGGACCTGACCAGGTTCAGTAAAAAAAAATGGAAAAGCACTGCATTCTTTTCTGCCTTCTGTTTTGGATTGGAGGTAGCCAAATGAAAATGCACACTGGAGTCTGTTTACACATGACCACCCACAGAGCTCGGTGGTAGTACCGCTCACCAAAACGTGACATGATGTTTAGGTTTTACCGCAGCCACAGAGCACAGTATTGCGATTGCAGCATGTGTACCTCCATGAGCAGCTGTATGTTAGTGTTCAGATGGCCTAAGAGCTCAATCGCGTGAGGTTGTGGGCTGGTAAAACCCCAGGGTTAAGACATATTTTTCCTGACCCCAACCCCCCAACCGCTATCCTCTTTAGCTTCAGGGGCAGTGATTGCCCACTATGTTCTGAACTGACTCCATGCTGCCCACACTAACTGTTCAGCTGTTGACTTTAGCAAGTTTAATATATAAAGAGTTCTGGGGATGAGCATTAAGATATTAACATGCTTTTAACAGTCTTCACACTTCTATGACTTTTCTAAGACAGAACAACATGTTCTCCTGTCTCTGTGTTCATCTGAAAATATAATACTTGATGTTCACATCTCCCAGGTAGCCAGCATAATAAAGTCTTGATTGCATTTTGTTCTCCTAGAGAAGCTTCAAGAAATGCTCCATTGGAAGTGGATGGAAAAAACATATCCAAATGGAGAAGTTCATTCAGGTTAGATGCCATTTTTGCTTGGCCTTTCAGTAAATGCCACACCAAATTGGTTTATAAAGCTTCTCATGGCCTTTTCATCCTGTTAAATAGTACCGTCAAATTAGTAAGGGTGCCCAGAACTACCTCCTTCCCTAAGACTATTTGACCACAATTAAATGGTCTTAGGCAAGATGGTAGTTGTGGGCACCCTTACATTTTGGTTCGTGAACAAACTCTTATGTCAACCTAAGGTGGGCAGCAGATTTTAAAAGTTTGCACTACATATGCCTAAAAGGACTCCTGACTTGGGGAACACAAGGGGACCAAAAAAGAGAAAAAGCTGTACACCAAACCACAGTGTTTTGACCAATATGGTGTTGACAATCAACTTTCCAGAAGATGTGTTTCTCTATTCTGTACTGCAACATCAAATATTTAACTTGCCAATATCAATGAATCAGAGATGTATGTGCAACAGAGAAAGTTCCACTGATACCCAAGACCATTGACATGTATCCCACTGAGATACCAGAGACTGACGATACTAATAGAAAAAAACATGATCATTTTTTCTGATATACAGTATTTTAGGAAACTGACATCCAGTCAGGATCTACTTTCAACAGTAAGCATGTTTGGGCTTGAATTCTAGAAGGGAATGGATTGACGTGTCTACTTATGGGTTATCCCAAGCAAGTGCTGGGAAAGCTGTTCACATCCTTGTCAGTTTAATATGTATGGCTGATTTAGAGGTAGCGGATTTTAATCTAATTATAAGAAATGTCATACTCTCTTAAACCCCCTATATTCCCCCATTCTACTATTGCTTTACATACAGTATAAGCATTCTACTTGCTCCAATTCATCTGCCAGAAATAGATGAAATAAAGTACTTCCATGTATGGGGGAGCAGTTTTTTCACTAAAAAGCACTATTCAGAATAAGGATTTCAGAAGACATGGCCCTCCCATTTAGTAATGCCCTCTTCATAATCTGTAAATATAGTATTACTGTGGATAAGAGAAGGGTGGGCATCCTCGCAGTTTTAACTCATAGGGACTTCTGCACACATACATCTCCCTAATGCCCAGCAAAGATCTGTCCATTACGTTAACGTCAAACGAAGTCTTGGTATTCACATACAGGAAATAAATACAATTCACAACATAGGCACCAGAATTTTAAATGTAACTTTATTGGTATGACTAAGATCAGTTTTCCATTTTTCATTTATAAACTGTCTATTGATGTCTGGCATTAATCTTATGGATGAAGATCAAACCTAGACATAATCATTGTAAATGATCTGTACTGAAGGACCTAAGATGGACTATCAAAACATGGCAATTCTTGTGAATTAGGTGAAGCTGGTCAGTAGTATCTGGCTCATCGATTATTCAGCCTTTTTTTACTGTTCTGTCTCTTTGACATTTCATTTGGATCCTGATCCTCACTAACCTTTCCTTCAGTCTTCTCTGTTCTCTTCATCCTACTTAGTGAATGATTGAAAGCCTAACATGCATTTTTGATCTGTTTTCAGGATGTTCAAGGGGCATTGAGGATATCATGTGCTCTGCTCAGCTTTTACACATGTAAGCTCCTTGAGTTCTTAAATTTAAAGGGAATAGATAGTAAAAAGAGTAATTATTGTTAAGTAAACAATAATCAAAAAATAGCTAAGGATGAAATACTGCATATGAAATATTTTGAATATGATTTTATGTGCAGGTAAACAGTAGGGGTATAGACTCCTTAGATGTTTTCAAGGCTATATTTGGCTGCACTGCTGAAAAAAGGCCTGTTTATAGAGTTCAACTTCTCTCTAAGTCTAAGAAGCTTCAATAAGTGTCTGAAAGCACTTTTGGGTACAGTGGTATGTGATTTATTTCCAGCTTCTATGGGATAGCCCTGGTAATTTGCCCACCACTGTCACATGTGCATACCTCTACTTTTTGAGATGAGAACGAGGGACACCTATTAGCAAACGTATGTAGGCATAGAACCACACCCCCACCATGCCCCCTTAAAGGAGAATTATAGAAAAAAAAATGATTAGTTAAACTCACAAGTTGTTTTTTTTTTTACCACTACTATTCCTTTATATTGGCTTTTGAAAATTGCAAATGCAACAATTTATAAATTGGATGAAAGGTTTAGCACTGGAAAACACTCTTTGAAAGATAAAAAGTGCATTTTATATACAACTATATAGATTAGACCAAAATAGGGGACAAATGAGGAGAAAAGAGGGACAGAGGGACTTTGTTCCAAATCAGGGACAGTCCCTCAAAATCAGGGACAGTTGGGAGCTATGCATGTGGTCAGGGAGAGAATTCTTAGCTCTGCGTAAGCTCCAAGTGCTCCCAAAAGCTGTATATACTGGGGATAAGGAAGTGTTCCTGTTATTTGCCCTGGCAGAGTTAAAGGTAATTTTAAATGCATTTTAATGTGACTTTCACATTTGAAATGCTTGCTTCTCCATAGATTTGTAAGTCAATTAAATAAAATGATTTGCAGATCAATAGAAGGAGCCTTGCCTCATTCCACCTCCTTTCTTAACAATGCTTGGAAAATAAGATATCAGCCACATAAGAAGTACATTGTTTACAATGAGTCAGCCAACAAAACCACTTAACCCCTGGAAGGTTTTACCCCCTTCATGGGCAGGGCATTTTTTGCTATTCAGCACTGTGCTACCGTGTTACTAAACCCAGGACCATGCATTCACTATATTTGGTCTCCCCGAACCCTACATTCACTATATCTGGTCTCCTCGGACCCTGCATTCACTATATCTGGTCTCCCACAGTACACAAAACATTACAATACAATTATTTTAGTAAATATAAACTGCTAAATACTTTTTCTCATGTATTTCAGCAGTCGTGTAACTCCTATCAGTGTCCAGCAGAGCACTGGTTAAATCTTGTGGGAGTTTTCATTCTCCCCTAATTGTCCTAGGAGGCTGCAGGACCCCTGACCCTCTGTCTGGACAGTGCTGATTGGCCCTGTGCTGATCACAATCACTTTCCCAAGAAAAAAAAAAACTCTCTACCAATACAAACCAAACTGAGCATGTGCAGCTTTCCCCCAAGATTCTGTTCTATCACAGGATGGATTGGGGACAGTAGAAGAAGGAGAGGATCAGAGAAGACTGGAGCAAACAGCCTTTATACACATTGCAGAGGATTAACCACAGTGAGTATAGCAAGCATGCTTTACTGCATAAACAGACTGATTTTACTGTTGAGGGTTTAGTAACATTTTAACTGGTAATTGCTCCATCATGCAACACTTTACCCAAATGAAATTCATATTTCATACTTTTTCCACACAACTAGAGCTTTCTTTTGGTAGTATTTGATTACAACTGTTTTTTTTAAATTTTTTTATTATGATTGAAAAAATACTGAAAATTTTGAACAAAAACAATATTTTCTGCTGTGGTATCTGGCCGCAAGTAGTCAGTAGGAGATCCTCTATACCCTGTAAGTTGCAAGGTGGGGCCTCCATGGATGTGATTTATTTTTTCAGCACATCCCACAGATGCTTGATTGGATTGAAATCTGGAGAATTTAGAGCCCAAGATATACACCTCAAACCCGGGGCAGACTGCCAACTCTTGGGGCCCCCAGGCAATTGGTGATCATAGGGCCCCTGTGTCCTTGCCCAAACTCAAAAAAGCCTATGAAAAAGGTACCAGGGTATCTCATTGGGCCCCCTACTGACCCCGGGCCCTCGGGCAGTGCCCGAGTTTCCAAATGGTCAGTCCGCCCTTGCTTCAAACTCATTGTTGTGTTCCTCAAAACCGTTTTTGAACCATTTTTGTACTGTGGCAGGGTGCATTATCCTGCTGAACGAGGTCACTGCCATCAGGAAATGCCATTTCCATGAAAGGGTGTACTTGGTCAGCAACAATGTTTAGGTAGGTGGTAAGTGTCAAAGTAACATCCACATGAATGGCAGGACTCAAGGTTTCCCAGCAGAACATTTCCCAGAACATCACACTGCCTCCCCCTTCTTCTTCCTGGTCCAGGGGCGGACTGACAACTCATGGGGCCTCCAGGCAATAGGGGATCATGGGGCCCCTGTGTCCTCACCCACACTCAAAACCACACCCAAAAAAGCCTATGAAAGGTACTAGGGGCATCTCATGGAGCCCCCTACTCTCCCTGGGCCCTCGGGCAGTGCCCTAGTGCCCGAATGGTCAGTCTGTCCCTGTTCTGGTCCCAGGTAATCAACATACACACACTCGGCCATCCACATGATAAAAGAAAACATGATTCATCAGACCAGGCCACCTTCTTTCTTCCACCTCTATGGCTACACAGCCCCATACACAACAAACTGCCATGACCATTTGTTCTGCTTTCAATACATCAACTTCAGGGACATCATGTTTATTTGCTTCCTAATACAGTATATTCCAGTGCACCACAGTGGATAAAAAATGCACAACTCATTTTAGCAACACAGTGTACCACAACACTCAATATATACAATATATTGCACTTTACTGTACAATGCATTGAAATATGAAATAACTTGCGCACTGCAACAGCACACAAGTTTAAATAGGTCCTTAAATTCCACTTCTAGAAAGACTACTAAATGCTCATATAAAGTCAGAAGCAAAATCATCTTAGTACTGAATAGAGATGAGCTGGGGTTCTGCCGAATCTGGAAGGCAGCTGTCATTCCTGTGCCAATGAGTTTCAGGCATGGGATACCCCAATTCTGCACGTACACAAAGGGATGGAGCTGCTTGTGACACCATTGACCTAATATGGCCATGTGGCAAAATTATTTCACACGCAACTTGCCCCTTTTTGTATGTACAGCTGGCGAGGGTGGAGTCCCCCACCTGCATCTCAATGGCCGAGCGCTGACAGCTGACTTGGGTTCGGCCAAAAATGTTTGAACTGAACCAAGAACCGAACAAAAGCTCATCCCTCTTACTGACATTTATTAATGCAACTGACTGTTAATACAACCTGTGATTCTTGATGGAAATTAGGAAATTATGTGATGGTGGGATGCATTGTTAATACTGTGAGATGGTGATGTCTAGTCTTTGATAAAATTCAGTAACCCCCACCAAGCAAATGATCAGTGATTGTTAATAGTCACTCAAAACCCTAAAATTATTGAAATCCGAAATCTCATTAGTTATTGACAACCATCCATTGTTACTTTCATAAAGTATAGTATGTTGAAGACTTCTTGTATTGTTTAGAAGACATGGCCCCTCTCACATACTATCACTTCTGTATTGTGCTAAGTAAATTGTGATGGTTTCATTAACATGCATAGCAGTTCCACCTCTGAAGCTTCAATGTTCTTGTTTAGTTGTTGCTGTAAAGCAGATCAGGTGAGATCATCAGCAGCTTTGTCACTAGGAAGTGATAGCAATTCAGTTCCTGTTCAGTTGTGCCTTTGGGCAGCTTTAAAAGTGTTGATTATTATGCAAAATGCTGCTGGTAATCACTCACTGGTTCCATTAGAAGGAAAATATAGTGTCTTTTCAGCTGTTTACTTTAAAGTGACCCTTTACCTTTACACACTTACAGGTGAAACTCGAAAAATTAGAATATCGTGCAAAAGTTCATTTATTTCAGTAATGCAACTTAAAAGGTGAAACTAATATATGAGATAGACTCATTACATGCAAAGCAAGATAGTTTAAGCCGTGATTTGTCATAATTGTGATGATTATGGCTTACAGCTCATGAAAACCCCAAATCCACAATCTCAGAAAATGAGAATATTGAGAAAAGGTGCAATATTCTCGGCTCAAAGTGTCCCACTCTAATCCGCTAATTAAGCCAAAACACCTGCAAAGGGTTCCTGAGCCTTTAAATGGTCTCTCAGTCTGGTTCAGTAGGATTCACAATCATGGGAAAGACTGCTGACCTGACAGTTGTGCAGAAAACCATCACTGACACCCTCCATAAGGAAGGAAAGCTTCAAAAGGTAATTGCAAAAGAAGTTGGATGTTCCCAAAGTGCTGTATCAAAGCACATTAATAGAAAGTTATGTGGAAGGGAAAAGTGTGGAAGAAAAAGGTGCACAAGCAGCAGGAATGACCGCAGCCTAGAGAGGATTGTCAGGAAAAGGCCATTCAAAAGTGTTGGGGACATTCACAAGGAGTGGACTGAGGCTGGAGTCAGTGCATCAAGAGCCAGCACACACAGACGGATCTTGGACATGGGCTTCAAATGTCGTATTGTCGTAAATGTCAAGCCACTCCTGAACAACAAACAACGTCAGAAGCGTCTTACCTGGGCTTCTGACCCATCAGAGTCCCCATCACTCCCCCCCTTTACATTAGACTCCCCTTACATTACAGTCCCAATGAGAGTCCCCTGTTACATCAAAGGGTCAGATAAAATCTTGCAAAGGGCCGGATTTGAAGACCTCTGATTTAGAGGTTAGATGAAAGGGTTTTTTTTTAGTATAACATTGTTGGTAATTCAATAGTAAATTTTTTTGCACAGTCTATATATCAGACCAAAAAGAGGGACAGCTAATAAGGAGAGACAGTAGCGTTTGGTTTAAAAAAAGAACAGTTGAGAGCTATCACTTTGGCCATGTAGGGCAAAGTATCAGGAAGGTTTAAAGCTAAACTCCCGAAAAAAAAAACAAATATTGACCCTATCGAGGGGCTTCCTCCACACATAAAAGGGTTGTGGGTGGGCCTTTGCCATCCTCACTTACAATGGAAAATTTCTGGTCCTGCATTGCATGTGATGACATCAGAGTGCTTGCGAGAGACAAAGAGAAGCGGCTTTGTGGGACCTGTCATGATGGGAAAAAGCCTATGAGAGCAAGGAATAAGGTCATTATAGGTGCTTTTTATGTTCCCTCTAGACCAGCCTTTCTCAACCTTTTTAACATAGAGGAACACTTGCAAGAAAAAATTCAGGTCTCGGGGGGAAGCCCTGCTAATAATTATGTTATGTGGTACATAAGCCACAGCACACTGGTGAGAAGTGGTCCCTATATGCTGGTGGTCAGTGGGAAGAATGCTCCTTAAATTAGTGGCCAGTGGAAAGAATTCTCCTTACATTAGTGGTCAGTGGAAAGAATGCCATTTTTTTTAGAGGCAGCTAACATGATCATTGGTGTCACTGTTTGGGCAACTAACAAAAGAGAGGAGGAGCTCCACTGGTCCTATGCTGTTGGCTGTGTCAAGTGGTATTTCCCACAGCTAAGCAGCCGTCATCAGGTAAGTATTTAATCCACCACAGCTCAAGGGACTCCTAGAATACTCTGGAGGAACCTTGATTGAGAACCCTGATTGAGAGGCTGCTCTAGACGAACCCTCCCCCTCCCCCTTCCCAACTGGACATACTTACCATTCCTTCAGTTCCTCTATTGCTCTGTTTAGCCACTAGGAGTGAATAGAAATGCCTGAAACTTTCAGGTATGGAAGCGCATAAAACTCGTTCCCTTCTTCAATGGTATAGTGTTGGTGCCTGATAATTGTCTACCACTGTTACATTCAGGCAGGGAAATAATATGCGGGCAGCACAGTGGCTAAGTGGTTAGCACTTCTACCTGGCAGTACTAGGGTTGTTAGTTCAAATCCCAACCACAGCACCACCTGCCTGGAGTTTGTATGTTCTCACTGTGCCTGTGTGGGTTTCCTCCAGGTACTCCAGTTTCCTCCCAACTCCAAAGACATGCTGGTAGATTACTTGGATCCTGTCTAAACTGGCCCTAGTATGTATGAATGTAAGTTAGGGACTTTAGATTGTAGACTCCTTGAGAGTTAGGGACTGATGTGAATGTACAATATACTGTAT